CAGAGAAGAACTGATGCTTTTCAATTATTGTGCTGTCAAAGAATACTGAAAGTACCGTGAATTGCCAAAATAACCAGCAAATCTGTCTTGGAAGAAGTATAGCCAGAATGCTCCTTAGATGCCAGGATGGCAAGACTTCCTTTCACCGACTTTGGACAGGATCAGGAGACTAGTCCGTGGAGAAGGTTGACATCATGCTGGGTAAAGTAGAGGGGTGGCAATAAAGAGGAAGGCCCTCACCAAGATCATTGACACAGTGTCTACAACAGTGGACTCCGACATAATAACAATTGTGCGGATGGAGCAGAACTGGGGGGTGTGCTGTTCTGTTATACATGGGGTTGCTTCATGGCAACAACATAGAGCAACAACATAGATCCTACTTCTATAGGCATTTGTTTTTTCAATCTCCTGATATGTTCTTTAGATTTTCCAAAGGATCCCATTATAAGTAGTATAATAAGTATCAGGCTGCTCCCTATAAAGTCACAGTTTAAACTGACCAGCCACTCCTGAAGTGAGAGATGTCCCTGCAAGGATTTATACTCTTGGAAGCCCAAGACAGGGCTGCAGTGAGTTGGAATCAATTTAAAGAGACTTGGTTTATTGCATGGGGGACAGTTGGTTTTTTTCAATAGATTCTAAAATATATATATATATTGGTGGGGAGTATATTTTTTCTGACACGCTTATCGGATTTCTTCTTTTGACAGCATTAAGCATTTAAAGGTCTGAAATTTTTCACTGGGACTCTTTCAGCTATTCAGAGGGATATTCTTCAGGAAAACCCAGATCAGGCTAATGCAGCTGAAAACGCTTTAATGAAGCTTAACTGCAGCTAATCTATGATTCCTTGCTCTGAAATGCAATGGAATTTTTATTTATAAACTGAACTCAAAGAGAGGTTTGGGCAATGACTTTATTTGCACAGTAGCTAGTCTTCCGAGAGTCAGATGCGTGAGGATGTCAGGCTTTCTTGAGACACTTCTTGATGAAATAGCCCACCAGCCTTTGGGGCCGCTGCTGGTACTCCGTGAGCACGTCATGGCTGCTAGTGATCTGGTCTCCATCCAGCCGGTTGAGAAGGGTGACGCACACCACAGCCGCTGCACCAGAAGAGAGGACCGCGCTAAGTCAAAGGCCTGGGGACTTCTCACGGAGGTCACTGAACAACAGCGGCTCTTTATCCCCTCAGGAAAGCAGACAGCTCAGATATGGACAATGTTCAGACATCAGACAATGATAGGCGTAGAGAGATGTAATAGATAATAAATAAAGGCACTGAGTCAGGGCATTTTTAAGTCTCTTCTTCCACCATGCTGCTCTATTCTTCTTATTCTCCCATTACCTTCGCTTCCAAATAAAATGACCATAGTAATCTAGGACCAACTCAGGGCTCTCCTATCCGTCTCAAGAAAAGCAAACTTTGGCCAATGTTTATATGCAAGGCAAAATTGGACTTTTTAAGAGGACTAGGAACTTGGGGATACGACTAACCACAATTTAGAAATCCAAAGAAATTTGAAAATCAAACTTGTAGCTTTGGTGGCAATCTTGCTTGGCAGGACCTGAGTTTCAAAACAATCTCTCCTTGTCCCAGCTACTATGAAAAGGCCCTGCTGGGCTGTTGGGAATCTTGCATTTTATCATGTTACCATAAGCACAGAACACTTTCAGAAACATAATGTTGTAGATTGAACTGTATCCTCAAATATATGTTTAAAATCCCAACTCCTATCTGTCATGGTAATTCCATTTGTGATAGAGATATGTTATTGAAGTCAAAGCAGTGTAGGGGGTGCCTTGATCCCATTTGCTTTTGAGATATAAAAAGAGCAGATTGAGCACAAAGAAGAGGCGACTATATATGCAAGGAATCAGAAATTCTAGGTCTTTATCAACTGAAAGCTATTGTCTGCCAGAGATGACAGAGAGCACTGTTTCCTAAAACTGATGCCTTGACTTTGGACTTCTAGCCTTCGCATGACCTGAGAAACTGGGTAAGCCGATGTCAGAAAGGAGACTGTGGCCAAAGACTGGAGCTAGCCCATTGGAAGCAAAGAGAAGAGGATGGAAGTTTGAGGCCCAGAAAATGCTGCCTACCTCGGAGGTTGGAAGAAGCACACATGGCAGCAAAGACTGAGGACTCCATCTCAATGTTCCGGATGCCGACGGCATAGGCGGCCTTCAGGTACTGCTGCTTGTCCTTCTCGGTGTACGAACAGAGAGCACCGTCCAGGCGGCCTTGCCCTGCAGTGTACACGAAGACAGGGAACATGAAGCACCTTGAGCATATACGTGGCACGAATGCCTACCATACGCCACACACCGGACAGAGGCAGTTTAAGGCCCATCCAGTCCCCACCATTTGTCAACAAACCACGGTGACCAATCCACCATCACAACTTGGAGAGGAGCTTGAAGTCATGGAAACCCAGGCATGAATCCCAACCCACAATTAGGAGAATTGGTGGGGAGACCCGGGGAAAGCAGTGTCTCCAGGAAGACCCCTCCCTCCAACTCACCTTCATAGAAATCCAAGGTGCACATGGTGTTCCCCACGACCACAGGGAATTCGTCCAGCTCTGTGGAACACAGCAGCAACTCCTGTACTAGCTGGTTATTGAGGTGTGTGCTCCGAACAACTCGCTTCCCCAGGATAATCTGCTCAAACTCAGGCTTGAAGCAGGCATCCACTGCTTGTTGAGAGATAACCACAGAGCCAGGCTCCAGACCTGAAGCAAGAGGCAGTCATCAGACCCATCAGGATGGACCCAGAACCATGACATTAGCTGAGGGGAAGGAAAAGGATTTATCTACACACCAGAAGACTGGACACACTCAGCATAGCTTAAAAAGAAACTATTTAATGACCTACTTTTGCCATTGAAAATATTTTTTCCAAGGAAAAAGAGAGAAATGATTGTTTTACTGCAATTGCTGAGGTTACGGTAATGTCCTATTACATAGCAACAGATACTGTGGTTCTCAGAACCATCATTTCAGAAGATGCAAAAAAGAATTTCTAATTTTAAGGGTAATTAATACATAAGCATTTTGAAAAATATAGAAGAAAACACAAAGCACAAAGAAAAGAATAAAATGTCCAGAACCCTCACTTTGCTTTATTAAGTGACTTTGAGTTTTTCCGGTCACTATTATTTTAAATTGTTGCTGACGCCACCATATGCAATACCATCATTTATTTGCTTGATCCTCTGTCTGGGTACCTTTTTATTATTATTTAAAATTTTTACCAAATGTGGAAGTAAGAAAGAATAATATGGTGAGCCCCCGTGTGGCCCTAAACTCAACCTTCAACCATTATCCACTCCTGCCAGCCTGGTGTTTCCGTGATTTATGCAATACTGGGCACTAGTTTGCATATTTTCTGGGCATACCTTTCCAAAGTTTGTGGAGCACGATTCTGTTCCTTCTTTGTTCTTATGACAACTTTGTATTTTCTTGTGATCACATCCTATTTAATATGAAATTAGTTTGCTAACATTGAGGCAGGAGGAACCAGGAGGGAGAGTTTCTAGAGCTCCCTTGTTAGTTCTTTTCCAGGAATACTACAAAAACCGTCAAGAGCTCGGTTCTGTTGACTGCTCTGCTTCTCCATGTTTTTATCTGGGTTTTCTCTTCTCATTCCCACTCCAGCTCCTGTTCTGCTCAAGGCTGTTTCTACTCTCAGCAGCTACTCCCAGTTTTGAGATTTGCCTTAGAAGAACGTGCCAGCAGATTGCTTTCGTGAATTCAGAGTCAAGAAGGTCAAAGTTATCCTGGGTGTATGAACAGTCAATGTGCTTGGCTGCTCATGGAAAAGCTGGAGGTTGGATTTCATCGAGGTCACTCAGAAAAAAGGCCTGGTGATCGACGTTCAAAAACAATTAGTCAAGAAAAAACCACATGACACACAGTTTTAATCAAACACACGTGGGGTCGCCATGAGTCAGGGGAAACTCAAGAGCAACTGGCTTTTGTTTTCAGAGTGTTCCAGTCACTTCAAAATATGGCGTGGCCCCTGTCAAAACCCACCTCACAGCCATTGAGCCGATGCTGACTCATCGCATCCCTGTAGAACAGAGCGGAGCTGCCCCTGGGGGACTCTGAGGCTGTCCGTCTTGAGGAGAGCAGAAAGCCTCCTCTTTCTCCTATGGAACTGCTAGAAGTTTTGAACTGTGGTTGTTGTAGTTAGTAGCCCAGAAGTACCCAAAGTAGATCGCTTTAACAAACAAAGTTGTTTTCTCGCAGTTAAAGAAATGGAATGTAGAACGTGTTCTAGGAACAGACTTTTTCTCTCTGTCAGCTCTGGAGGAAAATCATAGTCTATTTAGCTTCTGCTTGGGCAGATCCATGTGTTTGGGGATTTATTTGATCCCATTTCTCACTCTGGTCACTTGTGTAAGCTCTTTATAGATCTCAAAAGAGACTGGCTTAAGATATATCCTACACTAATTCTGCTCATAACAAAGATGACCCATCGTGAAATAGGATTATAACCACAGGCATAGAGGTCATAATTTGCAACACATGTTTAGGGGAGACATAATTCAATTAATAATGTTCTTTGTGTCATGAGAATTTTGACTTCTAGTCTATTTGGTCAGATATTAATACTACTACTCCCAATCTCTTTTGTTTACTATTTGCTTGGTACATTTTTTTTCAGCCTTTACTTTTTATCCTGTTTATAGCTTTGTGTTTAAGATGTATCTTTTGTAGACAGATTTGATGGATTACATTTGTTATATAATCCTTTGAACTGGCACAACAGTCTTTCAAATGCAAGCAAAGCAGCGCTCAGAGAAAAAGTTGTAGTAAAAATGCATCCATTAAACAGAGAACAGTCTAAAATCAATATTAACCCAAGCACGACTTTAAATGCGCAAGCAACCAAAGGAAGCAGTAAGTAACTGAGATCTCCGAAAAATTAAGTACTTAGGCTCATCAATATAAGCAGTAACTATAGATACTACACACTAGGGAAAATCCTTTGGGAACAACCTACCTAACAGAGGTTGTGAGAATGGCTTAGGGATGGCGTCTGCCCTCCTCTGACTTTATCAAGGGGAAGGAGATTCAAACACATCAGCCCAAGACCAATTCCTATGAAACAGAGGCCAGACATGCCTCCACCCCTCACACATTTGCCAATTCTGAGACCAGCTGACGGGCCTGGGCCACTCTGTACTTCTCCGCTGGGCTAGTAGATGGCCGTGGTTACACATGGACAATCCTCATGGCTGCGGAGCTTCCTAGGGAAGGTAACAGAAATGCTCAGGATTCAGGCTTCCACCAGGGGAGTTTCTTCTCAGCTATGTCCACAGGCATGCTTCTCTCTGACCCTTGGCCTGTTAGCCTGGTGGGCCCCTGCTCTGACAACGTTCCAGTCTTCTTGGTGCTTCTTGGTAGATAAATGGCCAAAGGCACACTAGTCTGCTTTAAGTAAGCCTGACCCTAAGGCTCCCACCTCTAACTCCTTTGACTGACATACGTCCTCCCCTGATGCAGTGTCTGGAGGCACCCAATTGCTCAAGCAAGTTTCCTTTCTCTAAGAAAACGTTTTTTTAGCTTGGTAGCCCAGGAAGCCTACTGCTCTGTCCTGTGGTCTTGGTTCTAACTGCTGCCACTCCTCTGCTGTTCTCTGTCACTCCCCTAGCGTCACAGCTCTTTGTCTCCAGAATGGAGGAGGCCCAGTGTGCAGGGACGACAGGGGCCAAATGGCTTGCTCCAACCCTCGCTCTTCTTTCGTCATGAGGAAGAGATCCCTGTTTACTGATTTTGAACTGGCGCATTAAAACCCACAAGGATGACGCCATTGACCAAGGCCACATTAGAGTCCCATACACATTATTTACTCCCCAGTCACTTGGTAGGCAGTAGGAATGTTAAGGCTAAAACAGAATTCAACCAAGCAGGTTTCACTCGATTACCAGAGCCCAATCTCTAAAATAAGAGAAGGCTCCAAAATATTTCATTGAAAAATTGCATTGTCTTTTCATTCTATTTTTCCACAAACTTTTTGAAGCCCCTTCATACATAGTGAACTTCAACAACGTAGCAACACAGAGACAAACAATTCAGTTTCAAAATGGGCAAAGGGTCGGAATAGGCACTTTACCAAAGAGGACATTCAGACAGCCGATCATCACGTGAAAAGATGCCCACATGCACCAGCCAGTAGAGATGCAAATCAACACCACAGTGAGATGCAAAAATGGTACTGATTAAGAAACAAATAAAAACCAGAAAACAACAAATGCTGGCAAGGGGTGGGGAGATGGAAATCCTTGTCCATTTCTAGTGTGATTATGAAACTGTACAGCCACTTCATTGGGGGAGATATATATATATATATATATATATAAATACACATCCTCAAAATGCTAAAATTAAAAATGCCTATGGTTCAGCAATCCCACTCCCAGAAATACTCCCTCGAAATCTTCTAGCACTGACATGAACAGGCATGTCATTTTACTTAAAGCAAAAGGGTGTTTATTGCAGCATTATTTACCATAGAAAAGAATAAATCGATCTAAATATACATCAACAGGTGAGTGGATAAAAATGATAAGGTAGAGACATACACTGAATGCAGTATGACACAGCTATAATGTTGAGGTCACAAAATATGGATGAATCTGGGAGACATTATGCTGAGTGAAATAAGTCAATTATAAAAAGAAAAATATTTTATGTTCTCACTTTCAAAAAGAGATAAAATATGTATACATATAGAAATCATGTTCTTTGTTGGGAAGGGAAGGACTCATTCTATAGATAGTAGATGCTTGTTATTTGTGGTGATGAGACTAACAACACTAAATATGGTGAAATGTGTAGAATTTGACCAAAGTACATTATAGCTTCAATAAATGCCATAATGTATACAATTTTGCAATAGCAATACCAACTGAAAAATATCTGAGTGGTAACATCTATGTTTACAGGACGTTGGTTTTAAAAATCACCGCCTTCCAGTTGATGGCCACTCACAGCGACCTATAGAGGACAGGGAACACTACCTCCGAGAGTTTCCTAGACTGTGAATTGTACAGGACTAGAAAGTCCCACCTTTCCCCTGTCGCATGCTGGTGGTGTCAAACTGCTGACCTTGTGGATTGCCGCCCAACGTGTACAATCTCATCACCAGTAATCCCTAGGAAGGTATAAAAGGGGGCTTCAAAAACCTCATGGAGAAAAATCTCTTTGGATTCCATTTCTCCACAACGTTTTTGAACTTCACTGGTATATGTATGTATACATTTTAATGTATAAAAGCAAATGGGGCACTGATAGATATTTCACAGATGTAACCTAATACCATATGGATTTACTTTACTGAATTTGAAGGTTTAATACCATAGATTTGTGGATAACTTGCTAATGGGCACAACATCGGCCATAAAATTGATGTACTACATCCTAGCTTAGTAAGTAGTGCGTGGGGCTATAAAAACTTGGAATTGGGCTTCTAAGATTCAACTGTTAATTTTTACTTCTCTAAAGTAAAAGAGAAAGAACTAAAATAATTAATTAAAGAAGACACCAGTCTACAAAGAAAAACTACAGTTGACTAGAGAGAGCCTGGCCATAACTATTGGCTATATCAGGACAAAATAGCTGGTTCCAGACAGACTACGGGACAGCTATAGAAAAAAATTACCTTACACGCCAGACTTACTGGTCTACTTCAGGATCGAGGAATCCCTGGGACTCTTGCCCCAAGATAGCCTTTGAACTTCGATCTGAAATTACTCCCAGTAGTCACCTTCCAGCTACAAACATACTAGATAGACTTAGAAAAGAAACAATATCACTTATGAGTACTGTGCTTCTTAACAAACACAGATATGTCTGTCCGTTTGTCATAGGGTGGTGGCTTGTGTGTGTCTGTGATGCTGGCAGCTATGTCACTGGTATTTCAAGTGCTAGCAGGGTCATTTAAAGTGAACAGGTTTCCATGGAGCGTCCAGATTCAGAAAGGATAATGCAGAAGGACTTACTTTTCCACTTCAGAGGAAGAAGTCACTGAAAAGCATATGCATAACTTTGAAACATTGTCAGACACTGAGAGCATAAGGAACAGAAGCGGAACAGTGTCCCCAGGGCACTCAAAATGTAAATGAGGAGGAACCGATTGTTTGGGGTGGACTCAACCCTGGTGACCTGAGTCAGGTCAAACCGGTGGGAGTGGAGTCTTCAGGATGTGCATTTGCTGATGGGGCATGAGTCAAGATAGGGAGAAACCCCTGCAAAATGATTGGAATGCTAATGATTGGAACTTGGCATGTGAAAAGTATGAATCTAGGAAATCTGGAAGTCATCAAACACAAAAGTGAAGGCATCAAGCTGGATATCCCAGGCGTTAGAGAGCTCATGGCTCACTAATGGACTGGTATTGGCCATTCTGAATGACAAATCATGTGATTCGCTATGTGAAGAATATCACAATCAAGAGTAATGGTGTTACACGCATTCTCACAAAGGATATTGCAAAATCCATCATGAAGTACAACACTGTCTGTGATAACTTTGTATTGATTTGTCTTCAGGGAAATCTAATCAATACAACTATATAGAAAATTATACACAAACCACAAAAGCTAGTGAGGGAAAAATTAAAGAATTCTACCAAGTACTTCAATCAGAAATTGAACAAACATACAATCAAAACGCATTGATAAGTATTGGTGATTGGAATGCAACAGCTGGAAGCAAAGTGGAAGGAACAGTCATTGGAAAATATGGTCCTGGTGACCACATGATGGAATTTTCCAAAACGAATAACTTGGTCATAGCAAATACCTTTTCAACCACACAAAAGGTGACTGTCCACATGGACTTCTCCAGATGGAATACACAGAAATAAAATTGACCACATCTGTAGGAAGAGACAAAGGTGAAGTTCAAGTCAGTTGCTAAAACCAGGCCAGGAACTGACTATATGTAAGTTCAAGATAAAGCTGAAGAAAATTAAAACGAATCCACAAGAGTCAAAATATGACCCGCAGTTTATCCCACCTGCATTTCCAGAACATCTCAAGGACAGACTTGTCACCTTCAACTCTAATGACAGAAGACCTGATGAGCTGTGGGGGGATATCAAGTCCATCATGCACGAAGAAAGCAAAATGCCATTATAGAAGACAGGAACGAAAGGAAAGATCAAAGCAGATATAAGACGAGACTCCGAAACTTGCTCTTAACCATCGAGTAGCTAAAGCAAATGGAAGAAAGGACTAAGTCGGAGCGGAATAGAAAACTTCAAAGGACAGCTCAAGAATCCAAAGCCAAATGTTAAAATAAAATTTGCAACAACTTAGAATTAGAAAACTAAAAGGGAAGAACATGCTCAGTATATTTTATACAGAAACAACTAAAGAAAAAAACTGTACATTGTAGTATATATCATAAAGAAAAAACTGAAATATTCAAAGATTCTATGGGAAAAATACTGAATGATGCAGGAAATATCAAAAGAAGCTGGAAAGAATCCACAGAGGCCCTCGACCAAAGAGAACTCATTGGCATCCACCATTCCAGGAAGTGGGATATAAGCAAGAACCAATGGAAGTCCAGGCTGCACTGAAAGCATTAGCCAAAAACAAAGCTCCAGGAATTGATGGACTACCCATTGAAAGGTTCCAACAACCTGATGAAACACTGGACGCACTCATTCATGTATGACAGGAAATTTGGAAGACAGCTGCTTGGCCCACTCGCTGGAAGAGATCCAGATTTGTACCCGTTCCAAAGAAAGGTTTCAACCTTTGGGGGCGGGCAAGGGAGGAAGGAGGCGGGGACCACAACGAATTTAAATGAATGGAAATGAATAGTCAGAATGAAAACACTATATGTGAAAATGTAACAAACATCGTTGAATAATAAATATGAAAAAAAAAAAAACCAAAACCAACGCCCCCCCCGGCAAGAAACCAAAACAACCGCCCCGGAAGCAACCCGAGCTGTCAATCTTCATGGAAGCCGACTGCTGCACTGTCCTTCTGGTGACTTGAACCACCCACCTAACCCTAACCCACGGCTCTACCAGGGCTCTTGAAAAACTTGTATAGCTATTATTAAATGGGAACCTAATTTGCTATGTAAACGTTAACCAAAACCATAATTATATACATACGTATATAGCATGTAACTTTTGTATATAAAGTGTATAACCACCAATGGGCACAGAGGTGCAAGGCCTAGTTCCTTTCTACTTCTGGTCTCTAGTTTTGGAATACAGGTATAATGACAAAAAGCAAAAACATACTCCTTAATAAATTGACTGGACTAAAACCAAGGCAGAAACGGGTCTACAGGACATGCTAAATCCCACAGCAGTTGCAGGAGGGGCTCCCTGTGGGCTGCACCACAGGAAAAATGCCCTCCCCAGACCTTACCTATGCCACCAGATGTGCCGATGCGGATGATGGTGATATTGGAGCACCTGGCATGGTACAGTAGCTTGATGAGCTCATGGAGCATGATTGCAATGGAAGGTATGCCCATGCCATGCTGAAACCAAAGGAGACAAGACATGTCACACTCGGATCCTGTCTTTGGGCCTGTCAGCACTGGCTTTTTAATGTGCTAGTCCAGCTGTCCTCGAGTCCATTCCACTGGAGCGTCATACAACCATGACCCACTGAGTTTTCAGTGTACGGGTTTTTAGAAGTAGATTGTCAGGCCTTTTTTCCAAGGTGCCTCTGGACAGACTTCAGCCTCCAGTAGTCGTTCCATTAGCAGCTCGGCAAACTAACTCTGGAATACCAACGTGGTATACTGGAGTCTACTTAGGCCATTTACGGTGGAAATGGACGGTGAACTTTAAAATGTAAATTCAAGCTTATTAACCTTTTAGGAGACTGGACAGTTGACACAGAGACGTCATATCTATAGGCATACCTCGTTTTATTGTGTTTCACTTGATTTCCCTCTGCGGGTAATGTGGGCATTGTGTTTTGAACAGATGGAGGGCTTGGAGCCAGCCTGAGCGTGGCATCTGGGCCACTTTTCAACAGCATTCGCTCACTTTGTGTCTCTGTCTCGCATTCCAGTGATTCTCACAATATTCAGAACTGTTCAGAATGCTATGGTACACAGTCTAGGGTAAGCATAACTTTCATATGTACTAGGAAAACCAAAAAAGTTGTGAGACTCACTTTCTTATGAAAGTCACTTCATTGACGTGGTCTGGAACCAAACAAGTGTGCCTGAATTGGCTGGCTGTACTGCCCATCCGAACTACAGCCACACATGTAAAATGGGAACAGCCAGAGAGAGGGTAGCTCATCAAAAAAGAAATTTAACAACGTAACACCCTCTTCTGATGTTTAAACCTGTTGCTGAAAAACTGATTCACCCTCACACGATCCTCGTCAAACAACGGGAAGGCCCCAAAGAAAGGATTTCCAAAGTTGTAGTAATTACGGAAGTATACCACCACATCTTTCTTCCATGGAGTGGTTAAAACTCCTGCACTGTCAGCTCATTCGGGCCTTTAAAATTATTTTTAAAAATATAATAATAAAATAAATCCTGAGCAAATGTGTTCCCCATCCACTCCATTCCCCCCACTCCATCCCCATGTTTCACAGGTTTATTTCTTACTTTTCTTCCCACACTCTGAGCTTCAACCAAACTCAGGAACTTGCTATCCCCTCGGCGCAAGCAGTAGCTTCTTGGCTCCGATGTGCACATGCCAACAGTCTTCTCTGAGCCTCCCCAACCCACCCTACTCCCAGAATCATGTCTGTGCTGCCCATGGGCTACTTTTGTTTTTGGGGTGTGTGTGTGTGTGTGTGTGTGTGTGTGTGTTTAATCATTTTATTAGGGGCTCATACAACTCTTATCACAAACCATACATACATCAATTGTGT